CCCCATCGACGTTGTAAAGCTCGTTTTGGACATGACAACTTGTACTTCTCATTGTTGCAACAGGTCCACCTGTATTGGATCTGTTTTTTGCCAGCCTGGTGGGAGGATGATTCCCCTGACCCCCAGTTCTTCCTGAGCCATTCTGGAAGGAAGTGTCTATGGCCTCTTGAGGTGGGGGGGAGGGTGTCTTTCAGGACAGACAGAAAGCAACTCTGGGTGTTTCCTAAAGCTGAGGTTTTTTGGTTTGTTTTTGTTATCGTTCTAGTCCAGAGACTTGAACTTACGGCCTGGGATCTGTCCCTCAGTTTCTTTTGCTCAAGGTTAGCACTCTGCCACTTGAGCCACAGCTCCAATTTTTGCTTTTTTTTTTTGTAATTTAGTGAAAAATTAAAGCCTCACAGACTTTTCTGCCCTGGCTGGTTTTGAACAATGATCCTTGGATCTCAGCCTCCTGAGTAGCTAGGAGCTACCAACGCCTGGCACAAAGCTGAGTTTTGGTGTGGAAACTCACGTGTCTCTTCATTGCGGCCAGTGTTGACTCTCCCTTTGTAGGATGAAGCCTTGCCCCTTCAGAGGCGGAGTTTGAACTCTGGTGTCTCTCAGTGCTTTGGGTTCTGATTTCCACTTAAGGTTTTGTAGATTCTTTTGTTTCATGGATAGGATAATGGGTTTCCTTGTGGGCAAAAATACAAAGATAAAAAGATGTGTTTTGGGCTTTTTGTTGTTCATTCACAAAGGGTTAGAGAGTTGCTTATTAAGTTATCTAATTCTCTAGTGCTAGGGGAAACATTTAAAAAATAATTAGGATATGAAGTATATCAGTGCATTTGCATGGTTTCTGAAGTTCATTTTTTACTGCCAGCCTATTTAGTGTCTTAGTCTGTTTTCTGTTGTTATAACCATATACCTGAGACTGGCTAATTTATAAGATTAAAAAGTGAATTTCTCATGACTCTGGAGACTGGAAAGTCCATGGTTGGGGCTGCTTCTAGTCTAGAGGAGGCCTCCTTTGTAATGGGAGCTTTCTGCAGAGACCAGGCATCACGTGGCTCAGAGAGACGGCCAAACTGGCTTTTATAGCAGACCCTTCTTGGGGTAACCACTCCCTCAATAAGCCATTAATCCATCAATTAATGCATTCATGAGGGCAGAGCCCATGACCTCTGAACACTATCAACAGATGAACTTGGGGATTAAATTTCCAGCATACGAATTCTGGGGGACCAATGTTCAAATCATAGCACCGAGTGTCTTTATTATCATGTGATATAATAGCTTAGATGTCTAGAACATGTTGATATGAATTTTATTGGTCATGAATTGGGAAGCACTTACATTGCCCCAGAAGCATTTTTAGGAAGAGCTACTGTGATCTACTGAAAAGCCAGATTCCAGCCTCTCTCTTCCTTTTTTTTTTTTTTTTTTTTTGTCGGTCGTGGGGGCTGAACTCTGGGTCTGGGCCCTGTCCCTTAGCTCTTAGCTCAAGGCTAGCACTCTACCACTTGAGCCAAAGCACCACTTCCGGCTTTTTCTGCATATGTGGTGCTAAGGAATCGAACGAACCCAGGGCCTCATGCATGCAAGGCAAGCACTCTACCACTGAGCCACCTTCCCAGCCCCCTCTCTCTTCCTTTTATGATGCAGGAAATCCGGGATCCCCTTATGCAGTGGCTGGGGGCACATGTGGATCCGAAAGGAGTAATCAAGTCCAGCAAGCTCTCCCTTAAGTTTGTGTCCTCTTGTGCATCAGAAGTAGAAGTCACTCCATCTTCCATACCTGTGATTACTGACACAGAAGACTTCTCTTCCGAACACTTTAACTTAGACATCTATCGACAAAATCTGCAGACCAAGCAACTTGGAAAAGTAATTCTGTTTGCTGAAGTGACCCCCACCACCATGAATCTTCTGGATGGGTGAGTCCTGCTTGGCCACTTCACTGCCTGCTTGTGTTGATTGTGTTCTGTGACCAGTGGCTGGAGAGGAAGATGGAGTCCTGTGTAGTGGTGTAATGTGTCTTAGTAGACTATTAGCTAGGTGTACATAACCCATGCTGGGAAGAGGAGGAGTTAAGGAAGCTCTTTAGTCAGAAGCCATTATGAATGGGAGGTATTTGTGGCTTCCACACACATGCACTTGCACATGCACCTGCACTCTAGTAGTAGTGCCAAGGCACTGTCCCTTAACTTCTCTGCTCAAGGCTGGCACACTACCACTTGAGTCATGCCTCACTTCTTGGTGTTTGGTGGTTAATTGGAGATAAGAGTCTCTTAGATTTGTCTGCCTGGGCCAGCTTTGAACCGTAGTCCTCAGACCTCAGCCTCCTGAGTAGTTAGGTTTACAGGCATGAGTCACTGGCGCCTGGCTGGCTTGCTTCTTTTAATCAGGTCTTCCTGAATGTCCTTAGAAAAAAAACCCCACAACACTAGGAAAAACTTGTTTAACAGGTGGCATTGTCACTCAGGTTCCTTCATGTTGTTACAATCAGTGTTAAATATTTAATAGAGGGCGTTTTGTGTGGGCATTAGAAGACCAAATTTAAGTGACATGTAAGCTGGGTTACATTGAAATAACTTGAAGCTGTGAATAACTTGAAGTTTTGGAAACTTTTCTGGCACGTTTCTGTCCAGTACATTTTTCAAGCACTCTGTAATCTCATTTGAGTGTTTGAAATTTACTTTTATTGCAAGTTTTCCTCTTTATCCATTCTGTTTGGTGGGCTTTGATTAAAGGTTAAAGCATGAAAGGCCAGATAAAAGGAATTTTTCTAATTGTTTCTAACTTGTCAGTATTAATTAATCCTGTTCTCATTAAAAAAGTTGGCTTATAGAGGGAAGAAATGAGAGAAGCATCTTGCTCAGTGTGAGAAGAGTTGAAGGACTTGGAGAGCCCTGATACAGCCAGGGCACAGTTTCTGGGTGTTACCCTGGGCACGGCATGACTAGACAGGATGGAATAATTTTTGCCTTATTTATCAGTCATTTCTGGAATGTAGTAATGTGTTGATATAAAATGATGAGGTCATGAGCGTCTTCTCGATTCTCACACTCAGAGTCAGTGGAACAGCAGTTTTAAGTGTGAGGAGAGTACATAGGAGAAGAGCAGAAGCCAGCCACCATGTTAAGGAGCAGGTCCGCTCACTGTGTTAATTCATGTTGTCAAAGGCACCTACTCATTTAGATTTCTGTAATGCTCCCCTCTGACTTCTCCCACCCAGAGGGATAAATTCATTCTCTCAGCTGGTATTACTGTGGTACTGTGGATAATTACATTTGCTAAATATAAAAGGTCTTGTACAGTTTTAACAAAGGATTTTAAGAGGTGAAGTTCAGCTAGCAAAAACGTGCACGCTTGCCCGCTGTTTTCATTGTTTTGATGAGTAACAGTGAAGATTGTTTGGGATGCTGAATAGTCTTGAACTGTTGGTTGGCAGTATGCCACTGGGTCCGGTCACTGTGGGCATGCCTGGCCAAAGGAGCGGCCAGTGTGCCCAGAAGGCAGCTATCGAGTCACAGTGCCAACAAAACAAACAACAAAAACATGTGAATGCTGTGCTTTCATACTCTTGAATAGTTTAACTGAATGAAGCCAGGTAGCTGGGCTTACCATTAGAGATGTAACATTTTTAGGATTGCGGGAGTTTTTCTTTTTACAAATGAGAAGAGAATGTATTTTCGCTTCTCCAAGGGAGTTCAGGAGTCTTTCTTTCTCTGCTTTTCTGGCTTTTGAAGAGCACTGAAGACACTGAAGTGGCTTTGATAATTAAATTTTTTTTGTCAGTTATGGGCCTTGAGCTCAGGACCTGGGTGCTGTCCCTGAGCTTTTTCATTCAATGCTAGTATTCTACCACTTTCAGCCATAGCACCACTTCTGGATAATTGGAGATAAGAGTCTGATGGACTTTCCTGCCCAGGTTGGCTTCAAATCGTGATTCTCAGATCTCACCCTCCTGAGTAGCTGGGATTATAAGCAGGAGCCACAGGCACCAGCTGATGATTAATTATTAGTCCCTTGGCTTACTCCTAGCAAGCATTTGACTGAGTACTTGGTGGCTGCACACGTCCTTCACCCACTTCTCATGTGTCTTCCTCCCAGCCCTCCGAGGCCAAGTTAATCACCGTAGCTTATGGAGTCAGTAAACCTTGTCAGTAACCCCCTAGTTCCTGGGGGCGGGGGTTAAAGTGGCTTAGGAGGCCTTTGAACAGGTTCCCTGTGTGTCTAAAAGACCCCAGATTATCCACAGAGGGTCCATGAGATAATGAAATACATAGATAGTTATGTGCTGAGAATGCATCCCAAGTGATTTCTTCCACTGAAACTATATTTGACGTTCCAGGAGCAGCCTTAGGGGACAGAGTGCTTACGGTGTGTCGCTGATGTATATTGGAAACGCTGGCTCCCAGACTCGTTTAGGTGTGCTTTCCATGCATGGATGAATCTCCTATGTGATCTTGTAGTGCTTTCCAGGCACCCTTTACTGAGCTAATACTGCTGTCCCAACATCACATGGATTTCCTACAGGGGAAATGGGTCCTAGGTCTGAGTTACAATGTATGGTCCCTCTTACCATATGTAGCACCTTGATGGGCCAAGAAGACAGGGCAGGAAGAATTTCAGAATGGTAGAGTAAAATGACCCCATGCTTCTGTATGTATTGCTACTGTGGGAATCTCTTACCTCTTTCCTGATGGGCTGGAGTAGAGCAAACTTTAAATGATATTTATTATAGAATTCTTAAAATGTTTCCCCCCCCCTATGTTTGAGCTCCCCTACCTTGGTCTGTGCATTGTTTTAAGCCTGGGAGTTTTTTTTTTTTTTGGTTCGGCCGTGAGGCCTGAACTCTGGGCCTGGGCGCTGTCCCTCACTCTTCAGCTCAAGGCTCAAGGCTAGCGCTCTACCATTTGAGAGCCACAGCGCCACTTCAGGCTTTTTTCTTTTTGCTTATGTGGTGCTGAGGAATCGAACCCAGGGCCTCATGCATGCAAGGCAAGCGCTCTACCACTGAGCCACCTTCCCAGCCAAGCCTGGGAGTTCTATTCCCAGGAAAGAATGATAAGGTCATAGTGAGGACCAGTGGTGCTGTGCGCTGGCTCCAGAATCCCCATGTGTGTCCTCTTCCTCCTGTATAAACCCTCAGCAGTAACCTCAACATCCCCATCATGTGCTTCCATTCAGTCAGAGTCAAGATGTGGAGAGGCCTGGCCTCCTCTCTTAAGACTGAATATGGCTCAGTGTCATGGGTCAATCAATAGTTATATGGTAGCGTTCATGATGGAGCACTTGTTCAACATGTACAAGATCCTGGTGTCTGTCCCCAGTACTGCAAAAATAAAACAACAAACTGAATGCCCAGATGAGCTCTGCCTTGAATGAACCCATGTACTGTGTAGGCAAACTAAAATAGTATTGATCTGCTACCTCCTGTTGCCTGGTGTCCATAGGCTGTGGCCTTGCTCCCAGGAGGCTTTTCCCAGTGTCCCATCCTGGAGAGTGGGGGTCTGGTATTGTTTTGAGGACTGAACAGTCATGGTTTTTAATTGGCCGGCCTTAGGGTTTCTGTGGCAATATGCCTGTCAAACTTTACTGGGCTTCTTCTCAGTCACTTCTGATTGGCTTCATGTGAGTGACCATTGATGATCATTTAGACAGATTTCTATCCTGAAAACTGGTCTTTTAAAGCTTCTCTCCCTATTCAGTGGTAGCTCCTTGGAGCCAAATGAAATGCTGGGTTTGGGTGAAAGACCAGGCTGAACCACATCTCTAGCCCAGGCTCCTGGGTTCTTTATGATGATATCTCCTCTCCCTGCCCCCCAGTAGGATGGCAGGACTCCAATCTAGACTGCCTTTTGCCAACTGAGAATTCCTTTCTTACCAAATAAGTGTTCTTTATCACTTTTCTGAGACTGCAAACCTCTTAGATTGAGTTTTACAGTGTCAAGGAAGACTGATAAACACTAATGTTTTGCTGTTTTTAGAGTGATTTCTTGCATTAATACAGCTTCTAATAAATCCCTCGTCTTGCCTGCCAGCCCCTGGATGGTGAGGGCCTGATGAGGTGCTCTGCTACTACGTCACAGCAGGGACTGGTGAGGAACTTGTGAGGTTCTTTTCCTTTCCAGCCCTTCCACAGCAGGCTCTATCCTTTAGGTCTTGTTTCTGGTAGTGTACACAAGTTTTAAGACTTAGCAGGACCTATTCAGGTTCTGTTTGTAGGATTAAGTATTAGGATTCCATTCAGCTGGATGAGACAGATACCCCAAAATAAAAGTGGCTTAAATATGGGACTGTGTGTTGGCTCACAGTGCCAATGACCCTGTTAAACCACAATGTACGTTTAGCACATGGCCCACTGAGCAGGGAGACAGAGTGACAAGGGCAGTGCCCCGCCTGTTACAGACTTTTCCCAGAAGGCACACATGGCTCTTACCTTAGGTTCCTGTCCCATGACCATGACCTGATCACCTGACCTGTTCTGTTGCTACAAAGGTTAAGAAACATATTTGAATCACAGATGAATCCAACTCAAGACCAACTTTTTGTTGCTAAGGAAACACTGGGGGATGTGCTTTCACTTTTCGGACTGCCAAGAAAAGGAAGCTAGTGTCCACATAGTCAGCTCCTCTGCCTGAGAGGTTCACAAGGGAAGGTGAAGATGATTAATTATTCAACGTACAACCTTAGTTCTGATGGACTGCTGATGTCAGGTTGCTAGAAGCGTCTTCTGATACTGTGACTCAGAGGATTTGGAAATCTCTCCACTGACCAATACTCTGGTACTTTGGCAAAGCTTCTATTTGCATTTGACTATGGAGGTCTACTGCAGTAGATGCTGAAAGCTTTCACTTGCCCTCTGGGTAGGACAACAGCTCCTTTCCAGGCCACAGCCATAGCCATTGTTGCCTCTGTCCCCACTCGG